CAGCACTTCAATCAAGCTTGCCATTCCCAAAAGGAACTTCTCATCTTTCCCCAGAACATGCCCCTCTCACTGACTCTTTCTTCTGGCAGCTCCAACCAGCTAGTTACTCAACCAAATACTGGCTGTCATCTTTCACGCCTCTCTTTTTCTCACACCTACGTGCGATCTGTCAGCAAATCTACTTACAATCCCTCAGAATACATTCAGAGCCTGGCCGTTTCTCCTGTGCTGCTACTACAAGGAAAAGCTTACTAAATTCTCTTACTTTTTTGGAAATAGTAATTACCCATGAGCTCCTGTGCTCACATGTGGAATAAAGGAAAAGTAAATATAAAGAACTTAGCAGACGGTCAGTGCTCATTAAACATTAGCTTTGAGTATAATTTTGGCCTTTGTTTTCAAGAAGGTTTGGCTAGTGAAAATGAAGTCATCAGCTGTTTTTTCACAAAAATTCAACTTTATTCGGTAAGCGTGTGGTGGCTTGAAGGAGAATGTCCCTCAATAGACTAATCTATTTGAATGCTTGGTGGAACAGTTGGTGGAACTGTTCATCTTGGAAAGGAATAAAATTAGATACACTTGTTGGAGGTGGTAACTCACTAAGGTTTCAAAGGCTCAGGCCATTTCCTTTAGCTCTCTCTCCCTCGGTTAGTGGGACAGTTGTAAGCTCTCAACTACTGCCCTAGCACCTGCCTGCCTATTGCCATGTGGCCATAGACTCCAGCGCTCTAGACAGTGGCCTCCAAACTAAGATTCTTCCTTTCATAAGTTGCCTTGGTCATGGTGTTTTATTACTGCGATAGAAAAATAACTAAGACAATACAAAATTTCTATTTCTAAGATTTTAATTAGATGAGTAAAAGAAATGAAATCTGTAACTGTTGGTGATTTAACCTATTGTGGGGAGGGGGAAGCGAAATTAACCTCACCCAGCTAAAATCACAAGAGCCAAGTAGAGCTCAAAGCATAATGGCAAGTTGAATCATTAAAATTCTTCATCTTCCTGATTAAGAGTAAGACAGTTTGGCCCAGAAAATAGTTTTTTAATCCAAGCTTTAATTAAGTGTGAGATTTCATTGAATAGCACAATTCAGTAGTGGCTTCATGGCAAAGAGTAACTTGAGGGATCTGAGGAAACTATTTTCTACTGTAACAAGTGGGCTCACAGCCGTCACTTGTATAGAGCAACCTCATTATTATAAGGTGGGGTGGGCTCAGGTGGTAAAGCACCTGCCTACAGGCAGGAGGACTTGAGTTCCATACCGTGAACTAACAAAGCTAATCATGCTTTTCATGCTAGTTATACCCATGCTGGAGAGGCAGAGACTGGGGCTCACTGACCAGCCAGCCTAGCCAATTTGGCACATTTCAGCCCATTTACAGACAGTGCCAAAAAATAAAAATAAAAAGTTCATGACACCTGAAGAATAACATCCAGTTGCCTTCTAGCATACACACACGCACACACACACACACACACACACACAGAATTTATCACTTTTCTCATTGCTGTGACAAAAGCAACTTTATATAGGGGTCGTTTTGGCACGCGTTTGAGGGTGGAGTCTATCGTGGTGAAGAAGACTGGGTAGTAGGAACTTGAAGTAGAATCATGGCACCAGCAGTGAAGAAGCAGAGAGAAGAAATTCGTGTGCCCAGCTGGCTTGCTCCTCTTTATGCAGTCTGGGGCCCAGTCCGTGGGATGGTCTCAGCCATGTTCACCGTGGGCCCCCCAGCTTAGCCTAATCAGATAATTCCCTCAAACTTGGCAGGAGGCTGGTCTCTTCAAAAATTTCTGGAAAACAAGTAACAGAGTTATCTGAGTTATCCACGCTATAGGAGAAAGCCGTGAACTTTAGAGGGAGGCATTCAGTTAAGTACTTGTCTTGGCTAGGATTTCTATTGCTGTGGAGAGGCACCGTGACCTCTTACAAAGGGCAGCACTTAACTGGGGCTGGCGTACAGTTCAGAGGTTTAGTCCATTATCATCATGGTGAAGCATGGTAGTGTGCAGACAGACATGGTGCTGGAATAGTAGCCAAGGGTTTCACATCTGGATCAGCAGGCAGCATAAAACAGTAGGGGACAGTAGGCCGTCCTGAGCATTTGAAACCTCAAAGTGGAGAATTGTGTTGGTAATTTGATGGGAACTGCATTGAATCTGTAGATTGCTTTTGGTAAGATGGCCATTTTTACTATATTAATCCTGCCAAGCCATAAGCATGGGAGATCTTTCCATCTTCTCATATCTTCTTCTAATTCTTTCTTCAGAGACTGGAAATTTTTTCATACAAGTCTTTGACTTGCTTGGTTAGGTTCACACCACTGTACTTTGTGTCCTTTGTGGCTATTGTGAAGGGTGTTGTTTCCCTAATTTCTTTCTCAGCCCTTTTGTCCTTTGTATACAGGAAGGCTACTGATTTTTTTTTTTTTGAGTTAATTTTGTATCCAGCCACTTTGCTGAAGGTGTTAATCAGCTGTAGGAGTTCCTTGGTAGAGTTTTTGGGGTCACTCAGGTATACTATCATATCATCTGTAACAGTGATACTTTGACTTCTTCCTTTCCAATTTGTATCCCCTTGATCTCCTTCAATTGTCTTATTGCTCTAGCTAGGACTTCAAGAACAATGTTGAAGAGATATGGAGAGAGTGGGCATCCTTGCCTTGTCCCTGATTTCAGTGGGAATGATTTAAGTTTCTCTCCATTGAGTTTGATGTTGGCTATAGGTTTGCTATATATTGCCTTTACTATGTTCAGGTATGTGCCTTGTATCCCTGATCTCTCCAATACTTTTTAAACATGAATGGATGTTGGATTTTGTCAAATGCCTTTTCAGCATCTAAGGAAATGATCATGTGGTTTTTCTCCTTCAGTTTGTTTATGTGGTGGATCACATTGATGGGTTTCCGTATATTGAACCACCCCTGCATGCCTGGGATGAAGCCTACTTGGTCATAGTGGATGATGTCTTTGATGTGTTCGTGGATTCGGTTTGCAAGTATTTTGTTGAGTATTTTTGCATCAATGTTCATGAGGGAGATTGGTCTGAAATTCTCTTTCTTTGTGGGGTCTTTGTGAGGTTTATGTACCAAGGTGACTGTGGCTTCATAGAATGAGTTTGGTAGTGTTCCTTCTGTTTCTATCTTGTGGAATAATTTGAAGAGTATTGGTGTTAGCTCTTCTTTGAAGGTCTGGTAGAATTCGGCACTGGGCTTTTTTTTTGCATGGTAGACTTTTGATGACAGCTTCTATTTCCTTAGGGGATATAGGACTATTTAATTGGTTTACCTGGTCTTGATTCAGCTTTGGCATGTAGAATCAGTCAAGAAAATTGTCCATTTCATTTAGATTTTCAAATTTTGTGGCATATAGACTTTGGAAAGATCATCCTGAGTGAGCTGTCCCAGAAGCAGAAAGATGCACACGGTATAAACTCACTCATATAGACATATAATATAGGATAAACCTACTAAAATCTGCACACCTAAAGAAACTAATCAAGAGGGAGGACTCTGGCTAAAATGCTCAATTCTTATCCAGAAAGGCAAAGAGGCTGGACATCAGAAGAAGGAGAAAAGAGGGAACAAGTCAGGAGCCTGACACAGAGGACCTCTGAAAGGCTCTGCCCTGCACAATATCAATGCAGATGCTGAGACTTATGGGCAACCTTTGGGCAGAGTGCAGGGAATCTTAGGAAAGAAGTGGGAAACAGTAAGATCTGGAGAGGACAGGAGCTCCACAAGGAGAGCAACAGAACCAAAAAATCTGAGCACAGGGGTCTTTCCTGAGACTGATATTCCAACCAAGGACTATGCATGGAGATAACCTAAGACCCCTGCACAGATGTAGCCCATGGCAGTTCAGTATCCAAGTGGGTTCCATTGTAATAGAACAGGGACTGTCTCTGACATGAACTGATTGGCCTGCTCTTTAATTACCTCCCTCTGTGGGGGAAGCAGCATTACCAGGCCACAGAAGAAGACAATGCAGCCACTCCTGATGAGACCTAATTGACTAGGATCAGAAGGAAGGAAAAGAAGACCTCCCCTATCAGTGGACTTGGGGAAGGGCATGCATGCAGAGGGTGGAGGAAGGGAGGGATTGGGACAGAGGAGGGAGGGATACAAAGTGAATAAAGGTGTAATTAATAAAGAAAAAAATCTTAAAGAAAAGAAACCTCAAAGTGATACATTTTTTCCAACAAGGCCACACCTTCTAATACTGCCACTCCCTGTGAGCCTACGGAGGCCACTTTCATTCAAGTGACTGCAGCACTCAAATGCATACACTAAATCACAGCTATTGCTAATGAGTTAGGATTAAGCATTAATAAGCTGAATCGGCAGGACAATTTTTCTTTCAGAACAATTAGATGATTTCATGCACTGCCATAACTTTACTAATGTATACGGTAAGTACAGTATTTAATAGACAGGAAAAGCAGATCATCTAATTTCATTTAATGTTTTACAGAAGTTATGTCTATTCTTTTTCAATAATGTTTTCTCTATGTGTAACGTGTATATACACCTACATACACAAACACACATATGTCTGCCATATACTTGGTAATGAAAAGAATGGTGAATTGCTTTTACTACAGACCATTTTGTAAAAATATTTTGAAACTTAAAGGAGCTAGGTAATAATGGCCTTGAATTGTATTTGTTGTTGTTATTGTTTTGGGGCAGGGACAATAATCCTAATATGAACTAAGTTGCTTAAATTATTACCTTTTCTTTGTCCATGTGTAGCTATATATTATACTTTGAAGTAGTCTTATAACAGTATATAAATGTAAGCAAATTTATTTGTTTATTTTAATTAAGTTTTGTTATAATGTAATGTATTTCATTGTGACATTTTCATCTTAATGTAAACCAATTTATAAAACATTATATGCAAAATTTACATTACAAATGTGAATTTCCTTATGGCATATTTCATCAACTCTGTGTGTGTACTACATGACTCATTTGGGTTTCTTTCTGATTTGTAGGAAGTCCTGGCTGAGCAAAGTTGGGAGTCCGAGTTCTCGCATTGACCGGGCAGACTTTTCTAATGAAAAAACCATCTCTAAACTGGAATACTCTGACTTCAGCATTCGATATTAATGGAGGAGAAATATCAAATGCAATGCTTACATTGTAGAAAATAAAACATATTCTTAAGTTTATAATAGTAGGAGAATAGTATTAAAAATGGAAACTTTCTGTTCTGGAAACTATGGAATTATACATTACTAAAATGTCTGAAACTGAAAAAATCCACTCAGCTATGTTTTTAGCAAGTAGAAACCAAATATTATTTTAAAATGTGATTATGAAATATCTGATAGGAACATTTAAGTGAAATATTGGCTTATGGGGTTATTAATTTCAGAAAACATTCAATGTACATGTTATTTGGCTAGACATGAAATAAAATTAACTATCTAAAATTACCTTTGTGAACTGTTGCCTAATAAAGCTGAATTTTAATGTCCTCTGAATAATAATTTACTGTTAAAGTTGAGTAATTTGTATTATTATTGAAGTCTTAAAAATGTTTAATATAAGCCGAGCATGGTGGTGCATGCCTGTAATCCCTGCACTCAAGGAGACAGAGGCAGGCAGATCTTTGTGAGTTCGAGGCCACCCTGGTCTACAAAAGCAAGTCCAGGACAGCCAAGGCTATGGAACTGTATACTCATGAAGAAACCCTAGAACTCATGAAGATCTGCCTGCCTCTGCCTCCTGAGTGCTGGGATTAAAGGGGTGTGCCACCACGCTTGGCTTCTTCAATAAGTCTATTCTTAACATTTATGTTTATTGTATGTATATATGTGCATTTGTGTGTGCATGCAGAAATGCATGTATCGTGGTGTGTGTGTAGAGGTCAGAGGACAACTTTCATAATTTATTTCTCTCCTTTTACCTTGTATGTAGGTCCCAGGCTGTCAAGATTGTATAACAAACATCTTTACCGCTACAGTTCTGATATTCACAATTTTTATTACACTGGAACCCTCCATTAAAACACAAAGTTCTGTAGAATTGAATATATAAAATAAGTTGGTTGTTATTGTTTTGTTTCATTTTGTTTTGTTTTTAGCACAGTCGATGTGACTGAAATGGAATGGAGAGGTCCTTCATACTTGGTCTCTCCTTCCTTATTTTTGGTCAATTTCAAATCCCTTGGGAATTAAGGTTGAAAACTACCATTCTAGCATATCTTGCAGGCAAGACACATTGTAGGTCGGAGCTTTTGTGGCTGGGTTGATATACCAGTCCCACCACTGGACGCCTTGCCTGCTTACAGAAGATGGAAGCAGTGGCATAGAACCTGTGAGAGTGGCTAAGCATTAACTGGTCCAACTTAAGGCCCCCACCAGCCGCAAGAGGAAGCCCATTCCTGACACTGCCTGCTTGGCTAGGAACCAGAGCTGGATAGCCCAGAGACCTAAGAGAGAACCAAACACAACTGAAAAAAAAATGCAACATAATGATTCCTAATGATATTCTGCTGTACTGATAGATCTGTGCCTAGCCCGATGGTCTTCAGAGGTTTCATCCAGAAACTGATGGGAACAGATGCAGAGACCCACAGCCAAACATTAGGCATAGCCAGGAGAACCCCAAAGAAGAGCAGGAGAAGGATTGTAGGATCAAGGACACCAGGAGAACAAGACCCACAGAATCAACTAAGCAGGGCTCATAGGGGCTCACAGAGACGGAAACAATTGTAGAACCTGTATGGGTCTAACCTAGGTTCTCTGCATATATGTTATGGTTGTGTGGCTTGGTTTTCTTGTAGGATTCCTAACTGTGGGTGTGGGGGTGTCTCTAACTTCTGTTTCTGCTCTTGGGACCCTTTTCTTCCTACTGGTTGCCTTATCAAACCTTGATATGAGAGTTTGAGCCTAGTTGTTTCTTCGTTTGGTTGACTGGTTTAGTTGTTTGTTTGTTTGTTTTAACTGTTTTTTGTTTGTGCTCTGTCTTATGGTAACTTGTTATACCATGCTTGATTGGTATCCCTGGTAGGTCTGCTCTTCTCTGAAGGGAAATAGAGGAGGAGTAGATCACAGAGAGAGAGTAGGTGGAGAGGGTACTGGGAGGAATGGATGGAGGGGAAACTTGGTTAGGATATAATATATGAGAGAAAAAATACATTTAGAAAATAAAATAAACTTCCATTTCATTTTAAAAACAAAAAGAAAATGAAAGCAAGAAAGAAAGAAAGAAAGAAAGAAAGAAAGAAAGAAAGAAAGAAAGAAAGAAAGAAAGAAAACTACCATTGTCTATGTAGCAAATTCCTCTGCTGTATGTCCAATCCTGTATCCGGGCCTCTCCTCTGCCTGCTACATGGTAAGAATTGAGAAAAGAAAGAGGTGGGATATTTGTTAGCTTGAAAAGTTCACTCCATGGATTGTAATAACATATCACGTGTACATCAGACAGTACAATACTGGGAGATGACCTGCCATATAACCTAAAAGAAACACATGTCTATTATTTAAGAGTAACATCGTGAGATGTAGGATATTTACTGGATAGTTTAATTTTATTCTGTTCTAATTCCCTACTTCATGTCAAGGAAAATAAACATGGTTTTGTGTTCCCTTCCTTTAGGGAGGATTTTGATGCCAGGTGCACTTGAAGACAACTTTTCTTCTAAGGTTTTATTTTAAGAGAACATTGTATTGTGCATGTGGAGAAAAATACATACTAGGTATTCAGTGGGTAAAAAAGAAGCAGAAATGCTAAGACCTAAGGGAGCAAAAGATTATCTCAGATTTTGGAAATGGCCAAGAAGCTGCCCTTTTTCCATGTCATGAAGACCTGTGCCTTTCTTCCTGAAGCACCTCCAGGGATGATGAGCCCTCAGATGGCATAGTACTTTGGTAACTGATATGCACTTAAGAACAAAGAAGACAACCTTGGATGCTTATTTACCTTACGGCCTCTTGTGTGTTCCTTCTGTGAAAGAATGCAACACACCGTAAAAAACAAACATAACTTCTTAGCTCACAAACAGGTTAAGAATCCATTTAATTTAGAAAGAGGAAGTATGTCTTTCATGTTTAGAATAAAGATGTGTATTTCTCTATACAGAGGAAGGCTCAGCCATTTTAAAAATAAGTATATATGATCAAATGTGACACTGATACATGACTTTATATCCTTTAGTAGTTCTCTTAATTCTAAAAAAATTACGCTTTGCTGGATCAATCTTCTATCTGCACAAAGTAAATCATACTAATGACTAATGTATAAATAACCTCTACTAGTGGGTAGAAATGTTGTAGATAATGATTGAAAAATAGGTGTATACGAATGGGTAGAAAGCAAGATAAATAGGATAAAGCAGTATACAAATGTGTTATAGAAACAAGAGAACACACCTTAAATTTTAATTTGTCAAATTTCATACTGAATGTATACAAGGATTTTTAATCTATATACAATATTTTAGAAACTAATAAGAAAGATTTTTTTTTTTTTTTTTTGGTCAGAGTTAGACATTTTAAAAACCTAGAAAGGGGGCTGGAGAGATGGCTCAGTAGTTAAGAGCCCTGGGCTGCTTTTCCAGAGGACCCAAGTTCAATTCCCAGTATCCACATGGCACCTCACAAGTGTCTGTATCTCCTGTTTCAAGAGGTATGACACCCTCACACAGACATACACCTCACACATTAAAACAAAAACAAACCAGTGTACATAAGAAAAAAAAACCTAGAAAGATTTAAGGGAAAGATACTTAAATTCAACGACTATCAACTGGTGCCTCACCCCTGCTCATACCCACACTCCTTGCCCCTTAAGCAACCAGAATCCCAAGTGGTATGGCTGAGAAGAGCATTAAAATATTTCTTTCCTATTTTATAAAAATTCCTATCTTTTAAAAAGCTCAGCCAACACGCTCCAGCTGCACCGGTGACTCAGCACTTCTTACTCTGGCAGAGATCTAGGTTCAGTTCTCAGCACACACATGGCAACTCACAACTCTCTGTAACTTCAGTTCCAGAGTCATACAGACAAAGCACTCAAATACATGAGACAAGGAAAGCTCAGTAGGACCCTGTTGATGGGGGGTGGGAGGGGGATACTGTAAATAATGGCTCTTACCCACCAGGGGAAATCCAAGGAACAGAGGAAAAAAGTTCTGGGCTTGCTTCTATTAACCTGGCAGAGGTGTCTGACCATTAGGGTTTAGGTAAACTCAAGATTCATCCATCTAAAACTGGATCTCAAGCTCAGAGAAGGACCTTGTAGCTGGAAGCATTAGAGGCGCCCTTTGTGTCCAGGAAGGACAGTTACACAGCAAAGGAGGGAAATAACAAGAGTGGAGAAGCCACTCTTGTTAATTAACGATGTTCATTAATTTGAGTTTGTTGAAATCTGCTGACCATTATGAATTAAAATATATATATATATATATATTTTTGAGACTAATTACATCATTTCTCAGTTCCCTTTCCTCACTTAAAACTTTCCCATGTACCCCTTCCCATACTCTCTTTCAAACCCATAACCTCTTCTTTCATTAATTGATGTTAATTAAAACACGTTATACATAAACCGTATATTAAGTCTTTCCATGACTACAGATGCAGGGTGTCAGAGAATGTTCAGTCCTCTGTGAAAATGAGACTTCTCATATCCACTCAGTGGAGACTTTGGGTAGGTCAGGAGACCTACATTCATGGCCCAGCCCATCTGCTAATTAGCAGTGTCCTGGGATCCTTGGCTTCATAGATGCCGGTGAGCCAAGGCACACCCAGGGGTGATGGAAGACACAGAAGGCCCATGCAAAAGATGTGTACAGGCTGGTACTTGGCCCCTGGGATAATCCAAGACAATATCACCTCTTGTCCCATTCACATGTTAGGATTGCTCCTGACATCTTGTCAAGCAATCCTGGCCGAGGGTTACAGCTCAGAACACTTTCCCAGCATGTGTGGGCCTGAACCCCATCTCTAGTACTTCAGAGAAGCAAACAAAACCAAAACAACAAAGACACAGGTGATTGCCTCTGACAGGCTGAAGCACAGTCATTGGCATCAAGAACACACATGCTATGCAAAAGCACTGTAGCAAACAGATTCTTACAGTAGCCATCATGAAGACTCATGTCTCCAAGTTTGTTTTCCTTTTATCTCTTATTTTTTGTCTTAACAAAGGTAGAAAATATGCAAAAAGAAATACAAATATGTAATTAGTGGTTAATTTTGAATTTATAAATGTTCATAAATTTATAACTGTCATAGGGATTCCTAATATTTAGAATCCTGGATAAGAGGTAACTTCATTAATTAATTCACAAGTCTCTGGGGAGAAGGTTGATTTTTCTGTTTTATTCCTCACGCATGCAAGGTAAGCACTCTTCCACTGAACCAGACCTCTATTTATGGTTGGTGATTAAGAACTAGGGTCAGCTGTAGGAGTTCCCTGGTAGAATTTTTGGGGTCACTCGGGTATACTATTATATCATCTGCAAACAGT